GATGACTTCTACTCAAGGCATGATACATTTACAGGAAAGGAAAAGAAGACTTCTACTCAAGGCATGATATATTTACAGGAAAGGAAAAGAAGACTTCTACTCAAGGCATGATATATTTACAGGAAAGGAAAGGAAGACTTCAACTTAAGGCATGATCTATTACTGCTGTATAAAGACACAAAATAAAGGACAGAGCTTATTTTCTATTTAATCTGTATGGTTTCAATTATAACATTTGCTGTAAATGTTGAACAGTTGAAATTAAAACCGCAATCTGCAAGATTATAAACTCACTTCAAATGTGTCAATTTTTTTCATGGTCTCCCATAGGGTGTAATTTTTTTCAAACGGGCTGGGAAATTCACCAGAATAAATTGATTGATTGATTTGTTGGTGTTTAACGCCACTTTCAACACTATTGTTCTATTTCGTGGCGGTCATTTTTTATTGATGGAGGAAGCCGGATTGCCCGAAGAAAACCACGAACCTTCGAAAGGAAAACTGACAATCATGGGCCTAGTCAATTGAGATTGGAGTCGAGCGCACCTTGCACGAGCAGAATTCGAATTCATAATCTCAGCGTTGACTGGCTAGTGATACAGTAGTTGGACTACTTGGAGCACTATGCCACCGAGGCCCCGACAGATTAAAACATAAGAGTTAATTTATAGCTATTCATAAATAAGGGTATCGGGTATGATTGTCAATGAGACAACTATTCCTCAAAGATCATTTTAAGTGGGTTTTAACAATTAGCGGCAACCTTACGGCCTTCAACATGAGAAAAACCCTACTGTTTAGTCGCCTATTAAAATTAGCCCATTTCGTAAACTGTATCATCTCTATCTCTGATGTTTTTTGTTTAATTCGTCAGTGTGAATGTTTCCTCAGCCAACGATTCCTTTCAATTGTGTTATCTGCTGCTGAAAATGTTTCACCACAGTGACTCTTTTCTATTCTTAAAGTATCTGTTAGATGATATATTTCTCGCTGTTGTATACAACGGAATGTGCAATCATTGTTCAATGCATGAGTATTTTCTTCAAGCCTGTGAACTTATTTTGGTTATCATCTCTGTGGGAATAATTCCCCAGTCTATAGATAACTATTTGGTTAAAATCTTTGTGAAGAAATTTCCACAGTCTAAATATTTTTTTTTGTTATCAACTGTGTCAGGAAATTTCCTCATTCTATTGATTTCGGTATCGTTCCCATCTTTTGGGGAAATTTCCCCAGTCTATTGAATTATTTTCGGTTATGAAATTTTAGTGATTTTGTTTTCGTTATCAATTTTTTGGGGAAATTTCCCCAGACATTTGATTTCATTTTGGTTATCAACTTTATAAGGAAATTTCCCCATTTTAGTGATTTCGTTTTCGTTATCATCTTTTTGGGGAAATTTCCCCATTCTATTGACTTCTTGTTGGTTATCATCTTTTTGGGGAGATTTCCCCATTCTATTGACTTCTTGTTGGTTATCGTCTTTTTTGGGGAAATTTTACCATTCTATTGATTTCTTTTTAATTTTCATCATTTTGGGGAGATTTTATCATTCTATTGATTTCTTTTTCGTTAACATCGTTTTAGGGAAATTTCCCCATTCTATTGATTTGTTGTGTTATCATCTCTTTGGGGAAATTTCCCAAATTATTGATATCTGATTGGTTATCAACTTTATGGGGAAATTTCCCCAATACTTGTTAACAAAAAATTTCTACGTTTCTTGTACATGTAAAGTAAAACGTGTTTATTTCTTGTTTTGTTGTGTAGTGTTATTTGATACCATCATCAAATATATTTGTTACAATCATGCCAGTTAAATGTTTGTTGGAATATTTTGTTCTCACAAATAGAAAACATTGAAATAAGAGAATAAAATAGAAATTCTCTTTTTCAAATAGATTGCGTTCTATGTATTAATAAATTCTTTCAAATATGCATACATTTTGTTATTTTCATCTGTCGTGACAAAATAAAACGGAAAACATCAAGACAGTGTTTACATTATACACCAACCAACACAGATTTGTTATACTTGTAGTAAATCGTGAGTTGCCGATTTAAAAATAAACATTTTAGTAACAAATAATAATTCATTCCTAATGACATAAATAAATCATTTCAGATGGTTTGTAATGTGTTTGGATGAGATTCGCACTGATATGCATGTACTTTATAATACCTATACAAGTAAAGAGTATAAAAATCAACGATGAATTAATATATTTTCATCTTTTAAAAAAAAGTTTGACCTGCATTGAAATTGAAATTGGGCTCACAAACATCCGTGTACACTGATTGCTTTAAAATATTGAAACGAAAAAGGGGTGGTCCGTACTTTAAATTTTCGAATTAGTTTTGAATGTAATACATGCATATGTATAATGCTACTTTTATTTATAAAACAATAGGCGAAAAATACAAACGGAGCAATTAAAATCAAAAGTCGAAGAAAAAATAGACTTCACCATGGCCAAAACGAAAAACGACGAAAATGCAAACCAAATTCTACAAAAACTTCGGGTGAACTCAGGTGCGTCGTACAGTCAACAGTTCTCGCTCCTCTAGTGAGAACCGCCGTGTTGCTAATAGAACCATCTGATTCATATTAAGGATGTTGCCTAAATCGTCTTCATAATTACACAAATTTCTTTGACAAATCAGGGAATATTTTATTCAATTATGACGGTAACGGCTTTATACTTGAGACCTCAGACGAAATCAAACGAATCACTTTAAAAATTAAATCAAGTTGACGCTAACGATAGTCAAACAGCAGCAACCTTCTATCATGGAAATCATGATCGGAAACGCAGGCCCTATATAACGTATCAACTGGGATTAATATACTTCCTATTCAGGCGCTGCTGGAATGTTGCTACATAGAAATGGAAAAATCACAATTAGGAAGCTAAAATCATAATTTTTGTCGTAATGCTTTGTTCTTAACAGACTTTCATTGTCATTTTAAAGATATAATTAGGCAAACTCCACCGTATCTACATAGTCACTAAAGTTTTAACTATTTTGCGGAACGTGAAGTTAAAAGATATTAAAAGATATTGCTTGCTTCTTTTCATTCTTTCGGAGAAGCTACTGTATGAAGTTTGTCTCATATGAATAACGGAACAATTCAGTAAAGTGAGGAGCACAAAAGGCTCCTATAGAAATGCTGATTGTTTTTTAAAAACGCGTTGTCCAAACGTAACAAACATAATGTCAAAAATAAAATCAAGTGTCTGTAGTCAGTTTCAGAGAACTTTTTTTGAATCAGAGTGTATTTTTTATGAAACAAGTTCTTTCAATTTGTCCTTCAGTTTAAAATGAGAAATATTTGTGTAAAGATTAGAGAAGTTAAAATGCTTTTATACTATTGCAAAATGAAAGATATTTAGATGATTCATACTCTAACAGATCTTTCGAATTTTTAGTACCCATATCGCCCATAGAGTATGTAGTTTCGCTGTTATTCAGAAGCCAGGCTTTGACTGATGATAGTCGTAATTTTAATAGTTTGGAAAGTGATTTCATAGAGCGCAGATCAATCAATATAACGTTGTTTGTAAGGAAACTTTTGTTATTTTTGTATCCAGTACAGTGAAGGCAGATCAAGTTCTTTATCGTTATTTGAAATTCCAAGGGGACGTACGACAGACATTTTCTTGTTCTGGATTTCCTCTTTGGTATGAGCCGTGGACGTATATGTTGAGTTTTCAATTTATTTGTCAATGCCTACTTCCGTATTCATGCAGTTTATGTAACGTGATTTACACACAAAACAATTTGAGACAACACAATATTTGTCATAGATGTATGACAGGCGTTTAGCAACGTTTGGGTTTTTGAAGATAGATATAGGATGAGTGTTCATAGAACCATTCAGTCTTGTAGTTCTAATTCATATTATCGACCTCTCAGCCTTTATCCATTCAGAAAGAGTATCCACGTATTCTTCCTCGAGTTTAGCCTATTTCCTGGCACAATTCTCAAATGAGTCCATTATATTTTAAACATGTTAAAGTTGTGTTTCCTATTGATATTTGAGGCTTAAAGTTCGTCGGCCCTTTTGTTAACACATTTCGAAGAGAAGTTTGGTGGATAATGTTAAATCATCATTTGCTGGCTAAAAATATTCTTCGCACAAACTTCTGTATGATATTTTTAGCATCTACTGGACATTTCCTATTTTCTTTTTTAGTAATGAAGATGTGATCATGCTGTTGTACGTCACGATCATGCTGTTGTACGTCACAAGTCTTGTCGTTGGTTTTGCTAGTTGAAACGGTTTTACATTTTGTCATGTCGATATCTTTTGTTCCTAACAGTTAACCTATGTTTGCTAACATCTACTTCATTTTTTATCTGGTGGATAATTAAATCATTGGCTATCATACCACATCTTCTTATTTTCCCATTGTTCCCAGAATTGAAAAGAAATGTACATTTTTGCAGCTCAAAATATTGACAGATGAACTCCTTCCTTAAATAAAAATTAATAATATTGTTCAATCTAACTCCAAAGGGTTTTTGGCATTTCCCAAGTCAAAAAATACTTAAAAACAGTAAAGCTGAATTCATTTGCCCTGTCACCGTTTTATACATGTATTTCTAACAACATTTTTAACTTCAAATTATTGGAATATTTGTATCACGCTCTTTTTTATTTTGCTAACTTATTCTATTTCCTATTTGATATATGAATTACAGAAATAAACCACGACAAACATAAACCAAACATTTACACAAGTGAACTAAACCATGAAACTAATTTGTAATAAATATAACATCAATTTGCAAAAGTGGCAATTTTTATTTCGAAATATTAAAAAATAATTGAACGTCTCACCGCCCCAAATCATTATAAAATCACTATTGCACTACCAAAAAATGACGACGTTACCACCTTCGTGTATCTTTCAGCTAATGAAATGGGTCTTCATATTGTTTGTTTGCGATTTGCCCAACCTGGACTCCAAGTAAACATATAAAAACAGACCAAGTAAGATATTAACATAGTCGAGCTAACATCCTTTTAAGTAAAGGTTAAAACTTCAGAAAGAAAATCAAAATGAAAAGTGTCAATGCAGCCTTGTGTTTTACAATAATCTTTGTCAGTGTGGCACACATCATTTATGGAGTAAATGGACAATGGGATCGTGAGTATACACTTTAAATCAATTCGTAATTTGTCTATACTTAGGGTGATTGACATATTGTTTAGGAAAAAGGAACATTGAAAATTTTTCAGAAAAGAGCATTTAACTTTACAACAACGTTTATAACTTGACTTCATATTTTCAATTAAATTACTGCAGTTATGCCAATCATAATTTACAATTTTTGTTTTCCCCGATTTCCCGTTTCCTAGTAAACTATAATAACGTTTACGCGGTCAAATTGAAAATTTCTAAAGTCTACTTGAATAACCTGCGTTTTCTAGGTTTAGATAGCTATAAAACCAGGTTTAGTCCACCATTTTCTACATGAGGAAATGCCTGTACCAAGTCAGGACTATGACAGTAGTTTTCCATTCGTTTGATGTGTTTGAACTTTTGATTTTGTCATTTGAGACTTTCCGTTTTGAATTGGAGTTCGGTATTTTTGTTATTTTATTTTTTTCTTTGTGTTCAGTTAGTCAGAGGTTAACGGGCGTTCACCACATATTTCGCACTAAACATTCACTTCAAAGTAAAAGCGTGTTTACTTTGAGTGTTAAGCATTTGTAAAAATGATAAATTAATAAACTACATTTTCTTGTTTTAGTAACGTTTTTGTTTTTTGTATATGGTATTTTGAAAGTATATCTTTCCGATTCTCGTGAAACTTTAATTTTGATTAATAAGAAAAAAAGTTTCCAGAAAATTAAACATATTTTCATTATTTCCAACGGCTTATTCATCTGTTGCGAATGAAAACTAAATAAAGTATCTCTTCAAAAAAATATTTTATTATTGCAAATTATTCCAAAATAAAATGTTTGCAAATTAAGTTGCATGTGTGGTAAACAGTCTTTACGATAGATTTTACAGAGCAATGTTTCAAGACTTCAAATAAATAAAGGCGACTGTAGTTTACCGATGTTCAAATCTTGTAAATCTATAAAGAAGAGAAGAATCATTTTAACTAAATCAGACTGTGGGAATCACATGCACTCAAAGGGTACGTCGACAGGGTAAGCATATCCTGGTGATACTTAAACAAAATATAATAGTCTCTCGTTGTCACTGTCGTATTTAAGGATTTACTTCGATCAGGAACGCTCAAATCCAACACTTGAAAGCCTATAATGTATAAGACCCAGGGATGGGCACTGACAAATGTAATCGATTATTTTTGAAGGATTTTTGATTTTCGTTTGTAATCGATTACAATCGATTACTTTATCAAAATTATTTTCATTACTTTTCGATTACTGTCAATTACATGATACAAAATTATAAAGAAAGTTGATTTAGAACTTTACAAAAAACAGCATATAAAGCACTGTTTTCTAATGTTATGTCGACAGTTGTGTTTTTAGACGGAAGCTCTTACCGTGGATCCGAAATATTCAAAAAAATTTTGAAATTTTGGTTTTCATCAACATGGGTGAGTGGTGATACATTTCTTTCAATGACGTCGACATGGACCATTGCATCAATCACTTCTTTATATTTTATTTCATTCGTTCTATGTTTTGCATTTTGTTTGCTGTCATACTGACTGCATTGTCTGTACTCTTTATTAACAGGTATATTTGAATATGATTCATTACAATGTTGGACGTTTCCTCTGAAAAAAGATACAAAAAAGTAGAATAACTTGCTAATTTTAAAGATGGAAATTTAAGATTTATAATTACAAGCATAAAATTATCATTTTGTTTTAATAATCTCCTTAATTACAAGTTATTAAAACTGCCAATGGATTAAAATTCATAACCTAGGGTAATATAATGTAAATCTCACACTTAATGAGACATAATTGAAATCAAAACAAAGTCAGCATTGATTATATTTCTTTGATCATCTGGGTCCGTATGCATAACACATCTTAACGTAAGTGTTCCTTAAACTTAGAATTCACTAAAAATTCCCTTAGTTAAGTAAATTTCTGAAGTCGTATGCATAAAATTACTTAAGTCATCACTTAACTAAGGAATACTTAAATCCGAACCTTTTCCTAATTGTCGTATGCTATATGTTACCTCATTGCATGTACTCATCCGTGCAAAATTTGTTTTGATTATTTACATTGATTGAACAATACATATAATTGTATAAAGAACTGGGGTTAAATTGATGTTTGTGTGAAACAGCTAACAAATACGTAACCAACTAAAATAACCAACCAAATTGGCGTATAAGAGAAAAGTTTGTTTTGGTGGTCGAGCGTGGGAAGAAAAAGATATTGATAATGCAAAACTCCCCCCTACTAAAGGAGAGATAAAAGGGGATTGGAAGGAAATTGATTGATTTGTCGATGTTTGCTTAAAGTCCAGTGGCAAATATGGCATGCATGTTCAGGACGAGAACAAATTACCAATAGATAAAATAAGTGGATCTTGTAATAGTCGCTTTCCGGAAATTTGAACTACCACTGGAAAATGAAGGTATATTGGATAGGGACAGACATTCTCCCTCGCAACAGCTCACATACGGACCCCAAAGAGTTGCTGTAGGTGTTTTAAACGTGCTGTGTGTGGCACTCTCTCTACACGAGGCATTGGATTTAATCCCCATTCTGACCGACGTTGTTGCGTACTTATACATCTCGCACAGCCAAACGAACGCAGTCCCGTTTTGGCAAGGGTTTTACTGTCGGTCGAAAATAGACCAAAGCTACCATATTTCTAGTCGCCACTCACCCTTAGGAGAAGGAAAAAATAACAAATATATAACAATATAATAAGAAGAAAAGAATCCATGAGGAGAGATTCCTAACAGATTCAAAAGAAGTGGGACAACCTTTGCATGGCGTGATAAATGTAAAATATCAAAAAAGAGATTCTTAAGAGATCCAAAAGAAGTGGGACAACTTATGCATGGCGTGATACATGTAAAATATCAAAAGAGAGATTCGTAAGAGATCCAAAAGAAATGGGACAGCTTATGCATGGCGTGATAAATGTAAAATATCAAAAGAAAGATTCTTAAGAGATCCAAAAGAAGTGGGACAACTTATGCATGGCGTGATAAATGTAAAATATCAAAGAGAGATTCGTAAGGGATCCAAAAGAAGTGGGACAACTTATGCATGGCGTGATAAATGTAAAATATCAAAAGATTCCGAGTTATCCACTTGCAATTTATTCTTTACAGCAAACAAAATTCAATCACACGAGGAGTCGCTGAATGGAAACCCTACATTACCTTGTAGCAAACCATCCAGCCTAATAATGGTATATGCTAGTTAAATCTTAATTAAAAAAAAAATCTACGTCAACATATTTATTAAATAGATTTGTTCCATCTCTAAGGCACAGACCATTCATCTTTCGTGGGTGATGCTCGATGGAAGGGCAATATATTTATTTTCTAGAGACAACAGTATATTTTTTTAACTCTAACAATACATGATACAGATTTTTGTTTTATTTCGATTTAAAATAAACTTTTTTATCACTTCCATTTTACAACAATAAAAAGGGGGGGTATGATCATTTTCCATGACATTTTTCAAAAGTTCTTCAATCTTTTACTAAAACACGCATTATTAGATTCATATGTTAACTGTAAGGTATTATCAATATCTTTGCGTATTTCCGAATACTTCGCTTGACAGTTATCAATCCAAAAGATGGCTCAAAACTGAATGCATTCATGCTAGGTTTTAGAAAGGACTTTCTTAACCAAAACCAACATTTTATTGGAAGTTATAACATAAATTTCTTTCAGATACACAATATTTTATTTAGGTTAAAGTCTTCCTTCTGTGCAAAATGAGCAATATTTTCGTTAATAGCAATATATCACTGAATATATAAGCATATACAAAACATTATTGAATACGGGTTAAGTATCATGAATTATATTTCATATATATAGACTTCGAATTCCACGGATTAGATTTTAAACGTTTTGATTTTGTCCAAGTTAGTGGCACAAATTCAGGGGAAATTTGCCCAATATATGTAGAAAAAAACCCCAATATAATTGAAAATTAAACCGATGTCCCCCAAGAAAACAGGATTTTGCATGCCTTAAGATTCTCATCGCTTCCTTCCTTCATACAGTTTTGCACTCATAGTTACAATCGATAGCAGAAGTATTTTATCAATCTAACATTTGATGTTCTTTGTGTAAGCAGGCAAGAACAAATCAAAAGAAAAATAATTGCATGAATTCCATGCGTGTAAAAACTGTGAGTACGTTTCGGTATACACACTGACGAGAATGCAAGATAATCTCTTAGGTACCACTTAGGTAAAAAGGACAGAGATTCCTTAACTTAAGTGTTTACTAAGGAAAATCTTAACTTAAGTGGGTTTGTGCATACGGGCCCTGATTAGTCAATACAATATCGCAGTTAAGAATTCTTTCCTCTCTATTTAAAATTATAAACAATACATATTTTTAGTGTCAAAATTGGATACATGTATCTATTACTGAACAAGAATTTCAATGCATTTGCTCATTGTCAATATGAATTTTGTATCCTTTCTTTATCTATATATCGTAGTATTATGATCAATCAATTGTTTATCTATATAAAAGTCTTAATGTATTGACAAACATTGAAAGTTATTTAAATTGTTTTAAAAAGGTAGAAATACAGTAAAATATGTTAGATCTGGTTGAACATAATGCTGTTTGAGACTACAGTTCTGAATAAAACATTTAATAGAACTCCCAAGTCATATTTATACATAGAGTATGCATAAATGCAGTTGTATATTTTCATTTAAACTAGGTTATATTTCATCAAACTATTTACTTAATTAATCGAAATGATATCGAAAAGTAATCGATGATTTCATCACAATGTTTGATGTAATCGATTAAATTACGATTACATGTAATCGAAAATGTTGTCGATTACAGATTACTGTCGATTACTTTAAAAAATGTAAAAAATTACAATCGATTACGATTACAGATTACGATTACCCTGATAAGACCTAAACGCGTGAGGAACTGTATGAGGAAAAGGGACCTAAACATAGCTAAATTCAGGTTAAGTCAACTGTGACTTTGGGAGTTGGAATTTAATTTTTAAAAAATGCTTAAAAGTCATGTCAGTACTTAGGCATTGACTACTAACTACAGGCCCCGAGGTCCTCATCAGCTAAGTAGTCAGTATTTCTGTATCGACATGACTTATCACAATCCTCTCTAAAATTATTTATAAATTTAAAATTATTAAGAAAACTAAGGTGTCAACTCCCTCAGGCAAAGTTGACATTAGATGGACTTGACTTTTATTTTCTGGTCCTTTTTGGTTATTAAGGCTTTCAACTGTTTCGGTTTTTATACATCATTTGCTTTCAAAATTTGGATTTAAGCGTTCCTGATGACGGTTAATTCACAAAAGCTCTTCGGATGTATGGAATGAATTGATAAAGTGTTTGTTTCATTGCGCAAAACCATCCATCATGAGGTACTAAAAGTACTGAATTTTAAAGTTGAAAAAGAGGAAATATAAGCACTTTTCATAGATGCCGACCAAACAATTAACAATTCATACTTTAAATGAATGGAGAGAGAGCGCATGCGCAAAGTAGTGCCATCATTTTTTTCAGATCTCGAGGGAAAAAAAGAAAATAAGGGATATAAACCTAAACTCTGGACCAAAGACAAAACAGCAAAGCATATACTTATTTTATGCATACATTCGGTTACATGGAACTGCGAAGGCATATGCTGCGATGACTGCAACATCTAGCACACACATGCATAGAACTATGTTCCACATTCTACGATCTACTACAAAGATCAAATGACACTGGCTATGATTCAAATGTAAAAAGTTAAACAACAATAATATCGAACTCCAATGAAAAGGTAAAACGGAATGTCCCTTGACAATAGGCAAAATCAAAAGCTCTAACACATCAAACAAATGGAAAACAATTGTCATATTCCTGACTTGGCAGAAACATTTCCTTTTGTAGAAAATCGTGGATTCAACCTGGTTTTAAAGCTAGCTAAACCTCTCACTTGTATGACTGTCGCATAAAATTCCATTTTATTGACAACAATGTGTGAACAAAACAAACAGATAGAAAAGGTAAAAATGTCAAAAATAGGGGTACAGCAGTCAACATTGTGTTATAATCTTAATCACTATAAAAACAAACAAGTATGCCAACAAAGAAAAACAACAACAAAATGGCATATAGAAAAAGCACATACGCAAAAATGAAATACAAAAATACAAAAAATGACCATAGCACAATAACACAATGGTGGGATACTTTAAAAGCATCAATGTCTCAATCATCACCTTCCACAGCTATGCGTTGGACACATTTTACTATAATTTTAATCCATTAACAACAGTACAATCGAATCAATCATATCGAACTCCTTAGGTCCACTAAAACCAGTAGTTCAAAGAGAAAAAACTTCATTAACAATAATACATCAAAATGCAATAAGAACAAAAAACAGATTGATTGATTGATTGTTGGTTGCTTAACGTCCAGTGGCAAATTATTATGCATATTCAGGACGAGAACAAGTTCACAAAAAATACAATAGGTAGGTTCTGTAATAGATTAAGGGATTAAAGTCGGAGAAATTTAGACTGCCACGGGAAATGAGGGTATATTGGATAGGGACAGAAATTTAGCGTTGCAACAGGTCACCTACGGACCCCTCAAAGAGTTGTTGCAATGGTTCTTAACGTGCAAAGAGCGTGGCACTCTCTTTACACGAGGCATCGGATTTAACCTCCCCATTCTGACCGGACGTGGCTGCAAATTTGTACATCCCGCACAGCCAAACGGACGCCCCACTTTGACGAGGGTTTTACCGCCGGTCGGAAGAAGACCAATGGTGACCATACTTCTATTCCCCAGTCACCCTTGGGGATAACAAAAAACAGAACCAACGGCAGTAATGTATTCAATTTACAAACAGAACAGAATTTGAGAATACTGACACTAAATTATAGAAGCACCAAACACAAGACTCTTTTTGTAGCTGTAGTAAATAACCAGACATCATCTGTGGCACATAATCTTGACTAAAAGGGAAATACCAAGCAAAAGCCCTACAAAAGATGCAATCATATCCAGTGAAGTGTTCCTGGAAAACTACACAGCTTTCAGATAACACTGTGGTACACTAGGCGGAGGAGTTTTTATCCCTGTACAAGGAACCGTACTAGGACCCCTTCTGTTCCTCTCTCACAACAACGACCTACCAGACGCAGTTAAATCGAAATTAAGACAGTTTCTAGATGATTGTCTGCAGTACAGAAACATCAAACACAACACGATCACATATTATAACAACAATATCTAATAAGCCTAGAAAAAGGGAACAAAGACTGGAGCATGCGCTTCAACGCTAAGAAATATTATATTCTTAGAATTAAGAACAAAAGCCAGAAATTATACAGACTCTATATAGCTAGATTAAAACTGAAGTGAACATGGTCTGAATAATCTCCGTATTGAACTTTTTAATCTAATTTACCTTTTCTTCCACGTTATCTCCCAAGTTAAAGTGTCTAAAAAATATAGATAATGCCTTGGTCAAGTACAATGATTACGGTAATCCCTTTAATTCAAAGGTACAATAGGTTTCCTTCTTTAATAGTTGGATAGTAACCAGTAACTTGTTTTTAAAAATTTAACTGGAGTTTGACCCTTTTCCCATAGCTGTGTCTAGAAACAGTTACCCTGTAACCTGCATTGGCTGTCTAAATGAGAAACTTTATTTTATATTCTGATTTTTTCAAGGTTTGACGATTATGAAGATAATATTTGACTGATTGAAAGATTGTAATATACTGGCGCTAACAACATGTTACTAAATACAATTCATTTCAATGTACACATGCATATGCATGATTTATAAAAACAAGAGCTACAATATCATTTACCTGTATAGTTATACGAAAAGAGAGGCAAAGGATACCAAAGGGTCATTCAAACTCATAAGTCGAAAATAAACTGACAACGCAATGGCTAAAAACGAAAAAGACAAACAGACAAACAGCAGTAAACAAAACACAAAATAGAAAACCAAAAACTGAGCAACACGAACCCAACCAAACACTGGGGGTGATCTTAGGTTTCTTTGGAAGGGTAAGCCATTCTGTGGAGCTTCAAATGTGACACCCGTCAAGTTGCTCATGTTAGTACAAACCCGGTTTTAAGTCTAATTCGGTAGTTCAAATTCGGAAAAAGGGACAAGGATAGTAGTTTCGACAATTGGAACATATCCTATGTCATCTGTGAAACGGATATTCCATAGCGGTTAACCAACTCGTGATTGAGTCCATTAAATTAACGAACGAACGATTTCAACTTCACCACTTGGAAATCTTTGTTTGATAGCTTCCTAGTGAGCAGCAACCCTCTCACAAGGAAATCATGACAGGAAATACATGCCATGGAATATCATATCAACTGGGAGATGTATACTTCGTATGCAGGCGCTGCTGGAATGTTGCTACATATAAATGGAAAGTTCACAATTGGGAAGCTGAAATCATCTGTTTTGTCGTAAAGTTTTGTTTTCACCGACCATCATTGCCAATTTCTCGATGTTAGTCAAGATATGAGGCAGATTTGACTGTATCTGTTGTATCCTTTATCTCAAGTTCGATGGGATAGATGCGTTCAACATAGTCACCAAATTCTGAATTACTTAGTGAGAGAACATCATTTATATAGCGGAAAGTGAAATTAAAGGAAACTTGTAAATTCTTTTCTTTCTTCCTAAGAAGTTTCTGTATGAGATCGGCCTCATATGAATAAAGGAACAAGTTAGCAAGAAAAGGAGCACAGTTGGTTCCCATGTTATGTCAGTTTCAGAGAATTTTTTGTTTGAATGAATCAGAATGATGTTTTACAAAGTATGATTTATCCCTCCCTAAGACAAGAAACTTTTATTTAAGTAGGCTGTTCGTTTATATGCAAAAAAAACAGGACGAACTCTTTCAATTTGTCTTTTATTTAAAAAAATTTTAAAATGGTAGATAGTTTATCATTATTCAATTTATTTTGAATGTGAAAAAAAGTATGCTGATTTTGATTCTGATTGCCATGATACTATCTTTACTAATGAGTAATTGACTAATAAAAGGAAATTTGAACATTTATAATGAGTTAATTGATCGGTTTATTATACTTATTTAGCATGCGACCCTAATCCATGCAAAAATGGTGGAAACTGTACTGAAATTAATTCTGCAAACAATGCTGTGTGTTCATGTCCTCCGGGGTATGAAAGTATCACATGTGGTAAGTTACTTCGTTTTTGTGAATACATTTTTTTAGACCATAACTGCTTAGAACTAACGTAAGTTACTTTGTTCTTATACTTTCTATATTTTGATTTTCAGTTGTTTATGTTATATAAATGTAAACGTTTTGACAATTAGACTACATCCTCTATTTATGAACTGGAAATGTAAGACAATTGTCAATGGGACAGCAAATTGACAATATGTACTCACCCTAGATAGAAAATGTTTAAGGAATGACTGTAATATTTTTTCTGTCTATGAAGAAATAACATCAAAAATAAGGTGCATACTGAATAACCCGCGTAGTAAAGTGTGCACCACATTTTTTATGTTACTTCGAATAGACAGAAAAAATATTACAGTCATTTCTTATAATTTAATTCTAAATTCCATTTTAAACCGGAGTAAACCATGAAAAAAATTTGATGACGTCACGGTCACATAACAAAATTATGTCTATGAGCTGATAAACAAAACAACGTCAGTCAATCAGAAGACGCGTTACATCCAAAATTAAATTATAGTGAAATAGAGGTAATCATATGCCCTTTATGCAAGTCTAAAACCAAATGGCAAGGTCAAAATCTCTTCTACAGTACTCTCGATTTATTGCGGAAGTGTTTGCTTATTACTTTAAACAGAATAAAACAAAGAAGTTTAAATGAATGCATAGTTTCATACCAACAGGTAAAGTTCTTTGAGCTTAACATGCTTAATTGGTAAAACTGCGATTATTTTGTGAAACTGTATTGTACGCTATTAAAGGGGCATTAGCTACGAGATATAAAAAAAATGATTTGTTTTTGTTCAATTATTATTGAAAGTGAAATAGTGAAATGATAATTCGCTTTGAGCAGCCAGTTTGGTTCCAATTTGTCAAAATAAGCTATTGTTCATATACTTTCTAATTTTATTTATTTATATCTTATGCAGGAAATATAAAGTAGGCGGATGAAATGTTATGTTTTTAAATAACTTCGGTGATGTATTTTTTTAGGTAAAGTAGTGATTTTGTTTAGTTTTATAAGGTGAAAATTTAATATGTCTGAACCTGACACACTGAAGTATAAATCTCCTCAACATAGAATTGTCCATTGTTTTAGTCGGAGCTAATAAAATATTTTTGAGATAGAGCAGGAGCGATTTTTTATTTTAATTTATTGTCTATAAATAAATAACTCGGGCCAGTCAACTACAACTTTTATTAGAATTTTTCGACTGCACTACTTAGGTCATGTCGGGGCCTTTTATAGCCGACCATATGGTATTGGTTTTTCTCATTGTTGAAGACCGTATGGTTATCTATAATTGCTTACATCCTCTTCATTTGAACTCTGGTGGATAGTTGTCTCATTGGCAATCATACCAAATCTCCTTATTTTTATAAGAAACATTGCTGATGAATTATTCACCTAGAAATGAAAAATTCGACGTCATTGAATCTGTATTCATTTTACCTTCAATTTAACCCCTTAGCTAGAGATGGGTTACGCATAAATTATGCATATTCAGTTATTAAAAGAACATTGAAAGTGAAACAAGTGTAAAACCATTTGGTTGACTGATTCGCTTAACAAAGACTCATTCTTATACAGGTAAAAACGATGATTAACATATTTCATGAACCTATAATATGGAATCAAACAGACCTAGAAAAATCCAATTGCACGTGTTTGCTATATATGTGTATCTATATTTATGTTTATATCGGGTTATATGCTCGTCGGCAGTTTGAGGTCACCTCGTTGGTAAAAAGATGGCATCAAGGCTAAAATACACACGAAATGCAGATACATATAATCGAGCCCATGCATCGTAAATTGTTCATTTTAGATTTTTCATAATTTGGATATACATTTTAGTACGTGTTAAATCAAATATGAGAATTTGAGTCAAATCGGTGAACAGGAATTTGACAGTTAATGCCAATTCAATTAACATGAACTTGTGTTTAAGTTATTAGCTATACCGTTATATAAGAGCTAAGTGATTTTCAGGACTGATTTGTATTCAACGTTGTTTTCTGTTCTTGTTCGATATTCCACAAACCAAGACTTAAGAGATGTAGGAGAATACATTATATAACTCTGCAACATGTTCATGCCCTATTTCTAGATCAGAGAACATTGTCAGGTTGCTGTTTTTGTGATATCTTAATGGGTTTGTTTTTAGATTTCATACGGGAAATTTGCTATTAATGACAGACTTTTATAGCCTCTTTTCAATCTATACCGTTAATATTTAGATTCGCTGCGGTATTTAGGAGATTGACAAATTGTTAAGGCGCCTGTTATTTGTTGGAACCAAGTAATGAACCCTATATGTATTTGGTGTTTTTTTTATTGTTATCTAATTTCGTATTCCCTTCATCTTTTATTTCTACGCAGTAAACATAACACAATAAAAGTTTGCAATTTTAAAGCGGATAATCATTCTATCTTGTATTGACTTTTTAAATATAAAATAAATATATGTATAATGTCATTAACTATATATCTTTCAGAAACAGCCCCAAAAGCTGGAAGCACAGCACTCTCAGATGGGTAAAATGTATTTTCTTATCAGCAAACAAATTAAAATGTCAAGACATATGTTAAAAGAAAAACAAAAGTTTTTTAAAGGATTTTTTTAAATACACATATGATTTATTTTCATTGTTGTAGATTGAGCTCGATGTTACCTTGTGTTAAGAAAGCACTTAAGAGGTTGAAAAAAAATAATACATTATTGCAAGTGTTATCTTCCACCTTTCACAGTTTATCTTCAAAAGGTGGGAAAAAAATGGAAACCATTTAAACAATTAACTTTTAATTTAAAAATTTCGTCATGGTTTCTTGCCATGGTTATTGTTCAATGTGAAATTGGTTTTTATTTTCTGAACACCTTGTACCTTAGTGTAGAAAAATTTAAGAATATGTATGGTAACTTTTCAATTTGTACTTATGTTTGGACCAAATAAGGCCTTATAACTCACACTCATTTGTAACTTTACAGTGAAGAAATGCTATTAAGACCCAAAATGTATGTTGCATTTCTTTGTTTTCTTATCCAACCTTTTTTTTTCAGGAAAATTTGTGGTATAGTTGTTGGTTGTTTACTTTTTGTTATTATGCTGTTATAAAGGTAAATAGAATAGAAAAAAAAAGAAATTACAAATGTTGTTTGTTGGTCTCCTAATCTTCATACTATTTAATGGACATTTAAAAACGCGCTCTTATTTATTTATTTGTCAACTTACCAGAGAGGGTGTAATTAGTTTCTGCTATCAGAACATACATCTGTTGAAAATTTTCTTACCTCTTATTAACTTGCTTTAAGTCTTTAAGTTTATTGCATTAATAAAAAAAAAAGATATGAGCAACAACCGTGCCAAATAGATACATGTATTTTCCAAAAATATGTCTTAAACAAAGATGTTGCTGTGAGTAAAATATTGTTTGGTGGGAAGTGTGTGTCTCATACTTAATGCCACAAATTGTTGTGCCAAACGACAATTATAAGTAGAATTTAAAATTTCGACATGTTTCTGCAACCATAGTAACGTTCATTCCTGCATTCTATTGTGCACAATAGTTATTATATCATTAAAAAACATAATCTTGAAACGATTGAAGAATGTTTTTATTTAACAATTCAAGGGACAACATAATTACTATATCATATCTCGTTCGTTCTGTTAACATAGACAGCAGTAGTTTATCGATGTTCAAATCTTATAAATCGATAACAAGGTAACCAACAAAAATTGAGAAAATCGCATGGACTCCAAAAAGTGCGATACCGGGCGTGTCGTTATGGTAAACGTCTGCAGTTGTGAAGCTAGGACATGAAGCCGTCATTATATATGTGTTTTCGATAATTTTGATCACCAATCAGCTTTTAAATTTGGTAAAGTCAAAGTTGTATGCAAAATGTTAACAAAAATATGTGCCATAACCAATTTACAGTTCCTTGACCTTAAGTTATTGTGTAAGAAACTATGATAGTTATACAAATTATACGGAAATTCCACTCTATTTTATTTCTATTTTAAAATATTATTACGAGGGCTATTCAAATCTTTTTTTTTATAATTATAAGTACACTGAAATAAGTCGGGGCAAGAATATGGACCATATTGACAAAATTATTATATTGCAACTAAACTCTCGTCCAATTCAGCTTTTTCTGTATTTCAAATGCGTATAAAAGTTGTATTTATATTGCCAGGGAAACGACACTAGTGTTGTGCATGTCGATTATGACGAAATACAAAGTCAAATGGTTTAATGAATTAGCAAATATCATATATGAATTGAAAACAATGATTGGTTACAGAAAATAAATATTGGTTCTAACCAGTATTCTTCTACATGTACACTTGCTTCATGCTAAAAACTCAAACATCTCGTTATGTAATACAGGTAAACATTCATAATTAAACTAATTTAGACTTGAAAGACAATTGGAAGCATTTCTCTTTCTGTCATTTTTAAACTTTATGTTCCAGGAGCCGTAGAACACAGTGAAAAATTAAAGGATAGCAAGTGCAAGCTTACAATTTTTAAATGAACTGTTGTAATTATATTTTTCCCCCTATGTCATCATATGGAGTATAAAGTGAATGTTTTGTGTAACATTCGTATTGATTTTATTTGTACTTTCTCAGTGTTATCAACTGCATTATAAAGTAGATGTTTTATCTTACATTCTTCGTAATCATATTTGTATTTTCTTTTATGATATCAAATGAATTATTAAGTAATATATATGTGTATTCCTTTTAGTAATTATATTTGTATTTTATACTACTAGTTTGTCATCAAATGAATTATAAACTTCGAGTTATGTGTAATCTTCTTATTGCTAGATGCCTTAGCTTTTAGTCGTAATAAGATCAATTTATATCTTATGCATTCTTAAATTTTTCAAAATTTCGTCTTGTCGGGACCCTTTAAACTGAATATACGGTTTAAGTTAAGCTCATTGTTGAAAGCCGTATGGTTACCTATAGTTTCTAAATAAATCCACGTCATTTTGAATCTGTTGTATAGTTATCTTATTTGCCTTCATACGACATCTCCAAGTTTTATATTACTTCGAGACGGTATATTAAGTCTTAAATGTAACAATTGCAAAAACTCGAGTTTTAGGCATGGTCCTTGTGGTTTTGATGTTACCAGAGATCTTATCATTGCTCATGAACAAAAGATCATGCATTTTTCTTAGAATTAAACGAAAGTTTTCTATTTTCTATTATTTCCATCAACAAGTGTTGTTAATTGTTAGAGATTGCCAGTCTTAGAACCCGTATTAGCGTTATATCTTTATGCCATCTGACAAACAGTCAAAACAATTGTCAGCAAATTTCGTTGTGTGATGATGCGACTCTACTGAAATATCAAAAAAACAAATGAAAACATATCTTTATAAATTTCATGCATCCGAAGCGCTTTTCTTTTTCTTCACCAGGAACGCTCAAAGCCGAACATTTGAAACCCAAACGTGACATAAAAAATTTAATACATCTGAAAGTTGCAACTTAACATATTGAAGTTCCTCCTATGTTTTTGCTTTTAAACTTATTTCATGAGCCTTACCAGCTGTTCAATTCATAAAACAAAAATTCCAGACATGTGCATATAGAATGAAGTTAAGGAACACGTCAAATGTTGACGCTATTACGTTATGAAGAGTGCTTATTATCTCAAGTCTGTAATAATCTAACGGCTTGATTTATGTAAAATTGGTCAACAAAAAACAAATATCATATTTGACTTTCTGTTTTGACATGCATTAATCATTGATATTGTAATAATTATAAATCAACTATTTACAACACTACAACACTTTGAATGTTTCGATTGTCTACCCCAGGAATTGTTTACATTAGCTGTATTCTGGCAAAACCTTTCGAGATTTGTGGTACTACATGTTCTACAACTTCGTACTTTATTTAACCTTTTTAAATTTTTTTATTTGATTGTCACTGATGAGTCTTTTGAGGACGAGATGCGCGTGTGGCGTACAAAATTGGTTCAGATATGGTACAAACGGAAAACGAGGAAAGGGAGGTCGTTCCACGAGAGTTTTTAATTAAGAAGGTTTAGCTTGACAAAGAGTTTTGGTAGAAGTTTTTGCCTTACGATGGGGTTTGAGGGAGAAGTTTTCGCTTAGTAAAGGGTTTGATGACTAAAGCTTTTCTTAACAGCGGGTTTAGGAAAAAGTTTTTAGTAAGCCTCAACAAAGTTGAGATGAACTATTGGATTATCCTCACTGTCCATGTGGGCGTCTGCGTCCGCGCCTCCTGGTTCAGATTTACGTCCAAGTTTTGAATATCTAAGCAATTATACATGACGGGACCATTTTATCTTGCAACCAATGGCGATTAAGCGTGAAAACTAGATCAAAGTGACCTGACCTTATTTTAATTTGTTGCTCATCTACTATCTCCGATGCATCTGTCTAACGTCCGAGTTCATATTTCAGCAACTATATGCGGTGGGATTATGTAACCATGTATACAGGTGCATCAGGGATAGTATATCACCATCCAAGTAAAATTAGGTCACTGTGACTTACATTGCACGCTTAAGCGCTTTTTTGGTTAAGTTTATCGTCTGAGATCATATTTCAGCAACTATACATTGAAGGCTCATGTAATCTTGTATACAGATGCATTAGGGATAGTAGTCAGCAACCAGGTGATATTAGGTCACTGTGAACTGCATATTATGATTTAGTGCCTTTGGTTAAGATTAACGTCCGAGTTCATATCTCAAAAACAATACATGAAAGGATCATGCAACCTTATATACATATGCATCAGGGATAGTAGGTCAGCAGCCAAGTGAAATAAGGTCACTGTGACTATCGTGTTACGCTTTTGTTCCTTTTGTTAAGGTTAACCTCCGATTTCATATCTTAGCAACTCAATCTAATTCAAAAATAACCTTGTTGGTCAGTCCTATTTGGCCAATGAAATTACTGATTTCACGATCTTAAAAGTTTATCGAATAGTTAAGGTTTATAACTAATTTTCATAACGAAGAAATCGTAGGTCGTCAAAAACATAGGACGTGTTTGATTGGTTTATCGATCCGAGGTCGACTCATTTGTATATCAAGTCATAAACACTGTAGGTAGTATTTAGAAAGTTTGCATACAATGCTTGGCGGATGTTTTAATCATATATTAAAGTATTTGCATAATGTACCATGTTTTCATTTTCACATCATGCAATGAAGTAACCAAATCATGTAATGAAGTAATCACATCATGATATGAAGTTATCAAATCACGTAATGAAGTTTTCAAATCATGAAAAGAAGTAACCACGTCACGCAAAAAAGAATTCACATCATGTAATAAAGTATTCATATCGTGAAATAGTGTTTCATGCCAAATGATAAAGATTTCAGATAAAGTAATATGAAGTAGAATTGTTTTGACATGATGTAAGCAACATTTGAATCATGTCATAGTAGTTTCTTCTTATAAGGCAGTGATGGCGTTCCATACAATATGATATACATATCTCTGTAGCCTACGCTTTTTAAACACCCCTAGAAAAAGGTGAATTCTTCTTTGCGTGACGTGGTTACTTCTGGCAATCTCTAACAATTAAAAGGTAATTCTAATTCATCAATCTGTAAAGGAAAAAAGTTGATCAATTATTACATTTGAGAGCAAAAATATTTTTTTCATATCTAAATATTGCCAAAGATGCAACGTTCCTTAAATTTTTGTAGTTTAAGGTTTTTATCTGGAAAGTCCTATGAATAAGGTCAAATCAACCCACTCTCTCTTATAATCACTGACATTGACTCTATTTTTTTTCCTCTTTTGTCTTTTAAAGAAGTAAGTGTTGATATTACATCTACGGTAGTCACTGCTGTTTCAATTATTATTTTCAAATTCGAGGACATTGTCTTTGTCTTCTAAACTTTCCGAATAAATATAACCTTATATTTTAACAGGGTATTTTCGAGCTACATGTATTAAAAAAACATTGCCAAAGTCAGATAAAAAAGAATATTTATCAATGTGTGTAATGTAAATCGCAAATACCTTAAAGTTGTATCAAAGCATTTGGAAAAATCTTTCTAAAGTAGTAACTTTAGTCTTAATATTTATCAAAATATAGATCATGTTCCATTTCAAATTTTGGTGGACTAGGATCCACGGAACTGATTGCTTGATTGTTGTTTGCTTAACGGTCAGTGTTAAATATTTCCTCCACATTAAGGAAGAAAAAAAAAACCAGTTAATACAACAGATAGGTTCTGAAAGGAATGTCGATCGAGATGAACGATGGGAAGTGATGGGCTTCACTGGAAAATGAGGGTGTCTTAGATGAGAAGAGAAATTTTGCATTGCGAGAGGCTACCTGAGGGCTGCTCATGAGGTGATTCAACGCCCAAATAAATTACGACCGGACGTGGCTGTCCTTTTATACACCTTGTACAGCAAAAATGAACGTCCCATTTTTCTGGATTAAACGCTATTAGAAACATCAACACTCGAAAATCTTAAAGACAAGGATGTATAACTACTTGCGGAGCTTTAGCTTTATGACCGAAAGGGACACAAAAAGACTAGCCAAATCCATATAAGGTCACTCATGCTAGAGGAATATAACGATATTTTTGTTATGAATCACACAGTTCTACTGTGGGCACGTTGCAAAACCATGTGTTTGAGCTTTTCTAATAACTATACTGTATCTGTTTATATATCTGCATATCGCTGTGATTTATTGCGAATTTATTTCTTAAAGTTGCAAATGATTGTAAAATATAACAGTTTGTTCACAGTATTGATATTTCTATGACGGTACCTATACAATCATGCAGGAGTACACACGGGGTCGGTTATTTTAAGAGCTTTAAATAAATCGGTGAAAAATATCGTTATAACATTTGAATATTCTCTAATTTGATGGTTTAATTGATGCACTTTACATTTAAATTATACATAAACTGATATAATCATACATTTGTTCAACAAGGATAAAAGTCGTGATATTCAATTTAAAGTAGTTTTATCTTTTTATTTTCTGAATTATCAATTTAAGGTATGTAAAAATTTTACACATATAAGAAAAATATACAAACTAGTGTTTAAACTACAAAGGGGTTCACGCACATATATTGGTGAGATTTGGTAGCTTCTATGTGCCATTAAGATATCCTAGGAAACAAGACTCTCGGAACGTCTCGAAAATTTTAGATCATTTATACAGGAATTTTCATATGTCTTTTATACGGTCCCTTTATGGATAGACTACAACTTGACTTTGTATATTTCAGGAATCAAAGGTCATGTGCAGATCGGAAAAAAAATTAAAGACTAGATTGCTGCTGAAAATCATTTTTATTTTCCAACATATTTGTCTTTTGACAGAACATATGCGTTTTGATATGAAAAGTAAAATAGCAAAACCCGAACTTTAAGAAAAATTCAAAACGGAAAATCCTTTATCAAATGGCAAAAATCAAAAGCTCAAACACTTAAAACGAATGGTAAAACAACTGTCATATTCCTGACTTGGTACAGGCATTTGTTATTTACTTATTACAGAATATTTATTAAATATGAAGTATACTGAAAACGCAATTATATGATTTATGTTTTGAGACAGTCCCTGTACGCGTTGTGTGTGACTATTTAATACTAAGCACTTAAACAAGCCGGAATAATTCAGTCCCTCCCCGTGATCGATTCTCCAACTCGCTAGGTAGCCATCGTAGAGCAGCTGAATATAACGACTTAATTATTCGCGTTAAGAAAAAAAAGTTTTGAACGTCTATGACGTCATATTTTGTATTTCCATCAAACCCTAGCAAATGTCGGAAAACAAGAAGAAAATTTAGCAACACGATATTTCTGTCAAAAATATTTTATTTCATTTATAGATACTAACAGACCACGGGAATATTCATTAAAGTTATTAAAAATAAACTGAAACTAAATTGATCATTAATAGAATATAATCAATAATGTCATGTCCCCTAGTATTTAACCGTTAATACATTTATGA